ACCACACCATGTGCCAGGTTGCCACAGTGATTAAAAGCCTGGTTTTATAATACGGGAAAATAAATTTCATTGACTCCTTGCGTTGGCTTAATGAGGTTAGATCAGCAAACAGTGAGCTTGGGAAACAGTTGTTGGCCAACAGCTTCCGAGTGCTGACGGAGGGCTCTCGAAAGGTTGAACTCGGAGTGAAAACTCAGCACTTTGCCTGCAGGTGTGTGGGAAGAACCTGAGGTTTGGTTTGGGAACTGGCTTTCAAGAGGGCAAGAGCTCTCGGGACCTTCCCGGGAGGTCCAGGGGTTAAGACTCCAGGCTTCCAACACGGGAAGCGAGGGTTTGATCCCTGGTCGGTGAACTAAGATCCGACATATCACACAGCATGGCCAAAGAAAAAGAGGGCAAGAGTTCTAAAATGCAGCTGAACCTGCAGAGAGCTTTTGCACCTTAGTAGAGCAGGGGCAAATAAATGAAACAAAACAAAAACACAATTTTAAAAAAGCGTCTTTTAAAGCTGGTAGTCCCTGTCATTTCCCCATGTGACGTTGGCTTTAAATTTTAGGAGAAGGGGGTGGGCAGCAATGCATAGAAGGAAGTGGATGACCGAACACCATGTGACCTTGCCGAAGAAAGCATCTTGCCTCTTTCCGACTGACGTGGGTTGGGGGTGGGGGGTTGCTCCGTCACAGTGTGCAGGGACTCCCTGCCTTCTGCGCTCTGAGATGCTGCGAGAGCCTGCTGCATCGCTTGAGCTGGGTTCATGGCCAGGGAAAAGCATTAAAAGTCCCCTCCGCCCTTGTACCCTGGTTTAGCTCCGACTGAGAAGATCCCTCTGAATATCCCTTAGGCATCAGGCTTTCTTGGTGGCTTGGTGGGAAAGAATCCACCTGCCAATGCAGGAGATGCCCATTCGATCCCTGGTCCGGGAAGATCCCCTGGAGAAGGTGATGGCAACCCACTCCAGTATTCTTGCCTGGAGAACCGTGATGCCTGGTGGGCTACAGTCTACGGGATCACAAAGAGTCTGAAATGACTTAGCGACTGAACGACAACAATTTGCCAGTGGGGACAGACCGTCCGGAACTTCCTCTCCTTTGGGTGAAGCCTTCTGCCTGAACGTCCCATGAAGCTGTTTCATGTGCCTCCCTGGATGTGCAGAGTTAATGAGAACGCTGTGCTCTAGAGACTCAAGTCACCGCCGGAGCCTGTGCTGAGGCTGCTGAAGCAGAGAAAAGCGGCGTTGGAGAGAAGCTTCGGGTGATGTCCGTTTCTTGCTTTCTCTATTTCAGAGCCTATCGTGCCTGGCCTTTTGGAATGCAGCCGTCATCCCTGAGGAAACTACAGGTGAGAACTGTGAAGACTTTCTGCCTCGCTGCACCCATTCTACATTTTGTTTCGTGTTTCTAACTGTCCTTTTGGTTAAAAATATGTTGTCTTACCAGAAAAACAACAACAACAAAAACAACAAAAAAAACAACCCAAAGGTTTTAGTTCTCATTTCAGAAGATAGACATTTCCTGACCTCTAAGCAGAAAGGGGGCCGCAGAGATGAGGAAGCACTTTATAACAGGGGTCACAATGCCCTGTTGGCTGCACTGTATCAGTCAGGGCTGTCAGGATATGGTGACAAACAACCCTCAGATAGTTTTTAATCTTTTAGTGTAAAATAGAAACACTAGCTGATTTACTTCATTCTATAGCAGAAGTAACATTGTATAGCAATTTTACTCTAATAGAAAAAAAAAAAGAATAAACTGAGTTTCAGGAAAACAAACAAACAAAAAAAACCCACTGATACAGAAACTCCCATGAAACAAATATTTATCATATTATTATAAAGCTGACACCCTTCTAACCATCACTCTAGTTAGGAAATGGAGCTCAGACAGACATCCCAGAAGTCCCTTCCTATGTCTTGACCTCCTTCTCTCCCCAAACTAACCATCTTCTTTGCTTTCATAGGAATAAATCCCAAACTTTAATGAATTAAGATAATGAACATTTATTTCTTATTCATTTGTTGTTCAGTCAGTTCAGTTGCTCAGTCGTGCCCAACTCTTTGTGACCCCATGGACTGCAGCACGCCAGGCCTCCCTGTCGATCACCAACACCCGGAGCTTGCTTAAACTCATGTCCATTGAGTTGGTGATGCCGTCCAGCCATCTCATCCTCTGCTGCCCCCTTCTCCTCCTGCCCTCAATCTTTGCCAGCATCAGGGTCTTTTCCAGTGAGTCAGTTCTTTGCATCAGGTGGCCAGAGTATTGGGGCTTCAGCTTCAGCATCAGTCCTTCCAATGAATATTCAAGGTTGATCTCCTTTAGGAATTATTGGTTTGATCGCCTTTCAGCCCAAGGGACTCTCAAGAGTCTTCTCCAACACCGTAATTCAAAAGCATCAATTCTTCGGCGCTCAGCTGTATGGTCCAACTCTCACATCCATTCATGACCACTGGAAAACCCGTAGCTTTGACTACACAGCCCTTTATCAGCTAAGCGATGTCTATCACTGTCACTAGAAGCTGCTCCCTTGTCTTTGCACGTTTATTCTGGGACCCAGACTGACAGAACTTTCTGGAAAGTTGCCACGAGGTGGGCAGAGGATACAGTGCGTTCGGGGGAGAGGCACACGGCCTCAGTCTTTTCCGTAACTCACCAGCGCAGGTCGGGAGGCCCTATCCAACCTGAGCCCAGGAAATGTAATCCCACCTTGCGCCCAGGAGGGGGCGCCGGGGAGGGAGCAGGACTATTGGGCAAACGCCACTCAAGCGGACTGGACTCAGGGGCCTTTGCTAGTTCTACCAGGGGCTAGCTGTGTGCTTCGGGCAAGCAGCCTTTTAAATCATTGCTCATTTATCAAATGAGGGACATTTGTAAGGTTCTTGTGAGGATGAAATGAAGTAACGCTTTAAAGTCTTAAGACAGTACCTGGCAAACATAAGCTTAACTCAGGAGCTTATTATGAAACCTGTTTAAACATCCCATGGACAGAGAAGCCTGGCGGGCTGCCGTCCATGGGGTCGCAAAAGAGTCGGACAAGACTCAGCGACTAAACAGCCGTTCAGTTAAGATGTTCAAGATTGAGAAAGGCTCCCTCCAGGCTCTGAGGCGGGGCGGGGGACAGGGCCTGAGGGTGCTGGTGGCTCAGGCTTCCCTAACCCCGTGTGTGACCACGGAGGAGCACCGCCATGGACCAGCTCTGGAAGCACCTTGGAGTCTCTCTGTTTTCTACTTCGTGACCTGCTTGAGGCGGGGATGGAGGGAGAGGCAGAATGAAGAGACGAGACACCTCCATGGCGAGGTTCCTCGGGTTTCTCTTTTGTTGTTATTGCTTCAGGATGTTGATCTTTCCCCTCCTTTTTTTTGGATGACAAGCAAGTGATTCATGTTCAGGGGAGGGGGCCCATCCCGCCTTCACTGACGGCGAAACTGTCAAAAAGCCCATCCCTGTAAACACTAACCTGGCAGAGGCGACCAAGCCTCCATATGGAAAATCAAAGTGAGTTATCTGGCAGGGAGTTGCAAAGATGGTTTGAATCAGAGGCAGAGACAGCCCGTGGATATTGGGGTGGGGGCTCAGGGCGGGGGGGGGGTTGCTGTCTGCACCCTCGTGCCAAGATGGCTGGGAACCTGGGCCAGTGAGTTTCCACTCGCTGGGGGAGGCAGGCCTTGTCTGCCCTGGAAGCCAGATCACGGCAGGTCTCTGGTTTAGATTCGGCTCATCGGAGGGTCCTCCGAGCTAATTGGGGGTGGGAGAGAAAGCCAGGCTGTGTTTTCTTTCCTGCTTAATAACAACAAGGGGAATTGCGCACAGCTCTGGACTTTATTAGCGGGGGAATTTGACATTGTTTTGTTGGACAGAGGCTCGTCCAGGGAGCTAATCTCTCACACCTGTTTGGCCTTGTTAAGGATCCAAGGGGCCCTGGCCTGCTAGCTGTTGGTTACCTCGGAGACAGATAGGAGGGAAGGAATGGAGGGGAGCAGGGATGGGGATTTCCCTCCTAGGTCCTAATTCTAGCAGTCTAGAGCTGAAGAGGGTACATATGCCAGCACAGAGTTAATAGGTGGGATGTTTGCATCTGGATTAGATCCACCCAGCCGGATCCTTTCCCTAAATACTTACTAAGCATCTACACAAATACTTACTAAGCATCTACACAATGTGCAAGGTACTGTCCTGTGCTAGCAGCCAGGCAGGCAGAGCGCCTGCCCTTTGGGAATTTACATGCGGGGCATCGTGTGAGCCTGGCGGGCTACTGTCCATGAGGTCGCAGAGAGTCAGACATGACTAAGCCCAAGGAGCAGCCTCCCAAGAAAGGCTCCCCTGGTGGCTCAGATGGTAAAGAACTTGCCTGCCATACAGGAGATGCTGGTTCGATCCCTGGGTCAGGAAGATGCCCTAGAGAAGGGAATGGATACCCATGCCAGTATTCTTGCCTGGAGAATCCCATGGACAGGGGAGCCTGGCAGGCTACAGTCCATGGGGTCACAGGGTCAGACATGACTGAAGTGACTGAGCATACACACACATTCCCCCTTGCTTTTTTTTTTGGCTTTAAAAATGGTTTATAAGCTCTTACTTGCAAATAGGGTTATATAAATAAAAATGATAATTGATAATCACTAATTCTTTTAAGAATCACTGAATTTTCTGTTGAGTAAATAAAGTATTAGGACATTTTCTACAATGGAAGGTCAGGGTTTCTTTCGAATTTATAGGTAGAGGTTTGTCTTCTATGTTACATTCTTCTTTCAAATATGTTGATCACTCCCAACCATGCAGGTATTATTATTACAATCCCCCTTCTTGTTTCAAGGGTGCTGGCGAAGGAGGAGCCCATTAATGCCGGTTGACTGGTCCAGGGAATAATAATTCTCAGGCATAGCGGAAGAAGGTGTCCACACAGTGATCAATCTCTTGACTTGAGGTGATCGGATTTGTGTCTTAGCAGGGCCAGCTGAGTGGAGCACCAGCCAACTGCAAGATGAAAAGGGGAGGCCACAGGGGACATGACCCCTCCCTTCTCGGACATGACCAACGTCTGGATCTGCGTGTCCAGGAGTGGCCCCTCCGTCCCCCTGGCTGGGAATGGCTCCGCTCTCCGCTCTGGAGGAACCCAGGCCACTCACCTGACCCTGCTCCTCTGTGTGCTTGTGGCATGGGTGCCCCCCTTGCCTGCAGGACCAGAGGGCTACCCCAGGGGACGGGCAGCGGTCAGGGGCAAGGCTGGCAAATGGGAGGACAAGCAGGTCCGGAGCAACAGCGCGGGGAAGCAGGTGCTCAAGAACCCATGGTGGGGGGTAGGAGGCAGGAAGAGGCTGGACTACACAAAGAAGTGGCCCCAAGCCCCTGGGAAATCCTCCTTCCGACCTAACTTATAACACACGCGTTCAAAGGCAATATTACCAAGCATTTTAAGTCAGCCTCTGCAGAGCATTAAACCCCAAGCAGTGGCCCTTGGGGTCCCCTTAGGCAATTGTGCAGGTTGCATGCCTGGGGAGCCAGCCCTGATTTTTTGCTCTATCACTTCCAAGCAGTAAAAGCTTGAGATGTTACTTGGCTTCTTGAAGCAAGAATCTCTTCATCAACAAAGTCATGATTGATGAGAGAACTTATCTCAAAGGGAGGTTGTGAAACATTTAAAATGATAATGTATTTGAAGGGCTCAGGGCAGTGTGTGGTGCTTAACAAGCACTCTTGGCCATTATTATGATTATAGACTCACCTGCTTGCTCTCCTATAGCGCGCTATGTGGTTGCTGTTCTGTTTTGCCCACCTGTCCATAGTTCTACTGAAAGGTCCTTAGTCTTTCATTTGTGCTTTTGTTGCCAATGGCAACACGATTTCAAGGTCTTTGATCTCAGGGTATTCAGCCAAGCTTCAGGAGACCTGGTGGCTTCCCTGGTGGCTCAATGGTAAAGAATCTGCCTGCAATGCAGGAGATCTGGGTTTGATCCCTGGGTCGGGAAGATCCCCTGGAGAAGGAAATGGCAACCTACTCCAGTTGCCTGGAAAATCCCATGGACAGAGGAGCCTGGTGGGCTACAGTCCATGGGGTCACAAAGAGTTGGACACAACTGAGAACTAATGCACTTCACTTTCAGGAGACCTACAGGGAAGATTACGGAACCCTCTGCCCCCGACCCTACACTCTCTGATATATTCACACATACACAGAGCACTCACACACAAACAGAATAACAGACACACACACAACACAGCCCTAGACACACACAAGTACACACAGCACCCTCAGTAATATTAATTGTTAGGGTGGAGTTTTTCAAAAAGCTCAAGGAGACTAGGATGACGCTTTCAGAGTCCCCGTGAGCAGACAGCTGTTCTAACCATAAGCGGCATGCTATCCCTATAGAAACTTGACCTTGGGTTGGAATTATATCTTTCTATTTTAGATAGATTTTGCTTAAAAAAAAATAGAAAGGGTTCTGCGATTAAAAAAAAGCAAGTGCAAACCAGAGCTCTGCTGCGTGGCGCTGTGGGAACTGGACCCTGCAGCCACCTGTCTGCTGGGCTGGATGGATTCCCGGGTCAGGAGGTTGCCCACCCCAGGGAACGCCGGCCACTCTACGTGGGCTGACGGTCGGATCCGAAGCTGGACTCGGAGGTTTCGGGTTCTTGTCTGAGAAGATGCAGAGAGGAGGTGTGGCTGAGTCGACAGCAGGGCTTGCAGATCCCTAAGCGCCTTCCTTTCCCGCTGCGCTGCCTGGTTGCTGACACTCACCTTCAAGAAGGAGGCAGCTCTGTGCTGCTCCAAAGTGGTGTTCTGATCCCTGGCTGAGGAGCTCTGAGCTGGGCATCAGAAGACCTGTGTTCTTAGGGTCTCATCTTGGCCACCCACGGTTGCGTGGCACACGGGAACTACGTATGCCTTCCGAGCCTTGACATGCTCCTCCACCAGGTGGGTGCCCTCTCTGTCTTACCTTGTTCACAAAGCCCTTATGTGGCTCCCATGACACCGTTTGTGCAAAAGTGCTTGTGGAAACCATAAAACACTCCCCAGAGGTCTGACCATATTAAGGGTGGGCTCTTGCGTCCTTTGTCTGTCCTCAATGAGCCTTGCTCTTGGTGGTCCCAGTGAAAGAGCAGGGTAGCTAGAAATAACTCGTACTGTCTCATTTTCCTAGCAATAGTTTTCTTTCACTGTTTTTCCATCTGCCTCCATTAAACAGAAGTGAAGAGAGAGATATGCAGACATATACATATTCACTTACACTGATTCATTATCACCCTATATGTCATAAAAGCTTCCCCAGTGGGTCAGAGGTAGAGAATCAGCCCACAATGCAGGAGACATGGGTTTGATCCCTGGGTCTGGAACATGCCCTGGACTGGGAAGTGACAACTCACTCCAGTACTGTCCTGTCCCATGGACAGAGGACCCTTGTGGGCCATAGTCTGTAGGGCCACAGAGAGTCATACATGACTGTGCAGGAGTGTGAACACACATCATTTAAATTACCGCATTACATGTAGTCATGCTATCAGATAGTAATGTACTGGTAAATATTTAAGCACCAGCTCTCTGAAGAAAATATATTCATGCTTATAAATAATATGTTGATTATAAATCTTATTCATATAAAGGAGGTATAGCATAAATTTGCAAATACCTATACAATATGAAATACCCTTCATCGTAAATTCCACATAACTAATTGACTCTTGAAAAACATTTCACCAAGTTCTCTTCTGCAGTTGGCAAAGGAGTATAATTCCAATAGGAACACTGGTGGATATTTTAATTTTCATTGAGGAATAAGTTGAAAGAAGATATACGTTGGAAGCTCACTTCTTGGTCGATAATGTGATTACTTCATGGGGTCAGAAGATGGTTTTTGAGAAGAATATACCCTCGATACATATTTGTTGGCTACTCACAAAGGAATAACTAAAGATGTGATGTATTTTTACACTTGATATGTATTATTAACCTCTCCTTTATTATTTTTAAGTCTATACAATCACAAAACTGATTTGTAGCATTTTTATACTTCCATGGTGTTCAAGTTCCTACCATGGCTAACTCAGCTAAAATTGTGATATCACTGAACACAGAGTCAGGGAGAGATGTGTAGTAATCAGCCATCGGCCAGTATTTCCGCCATATGAACATGCTGTTGTTGTTCAGTGGCTAATTCATGCCTGATGCTTTGCGACCCCATGGACTGTAGCCCACCAGACTCCTCTGTCCATGGAATTTTCCAGGGAATACTGGAGTGGGTTGTCATTTCCTTCTTCAGGGGATCTCCCCAACCCAGGGATCGAACCTGTGTCTCCTGCTTTGGCGGATGGATTCTTTATCACTGAGCCACCAGGGAAACTCCAATATGGACATGAGAGATAGAGGTAACCTCAAGGATATAGACAAAGGTGAAACATTGCAAAATGGTAAGGAAGTGATTAGCTCAATCACTTTTGTTTCTGATGTAACTTATTTCATTGTAAGTTTGTAGAGTTTGACTTTTAATAGCAGCTATGTTTAACAGGGGCTTCCCTGATAGCTCCATTGGTAAAGAATCGGCCTGCAGTGCAGGACACCCCGGTTCAATCCCTGGGTCAGGAAGATCCCCTGGAGAAGGGATAGGCGCCCCACTCCAGTAGTCTTGGGCTTCCCTTGTGGTTCAGCTGTTGGAGAATCTGCCCATAATGTGGGAGACCTGGGTTGGGAAGATCCCTTGGAGAAGGGAAAGGCCACCCACTCCAGTATTCTGGCCTGGAGAATTCCACGGACTGTATAGTTAAGGGGGTCACAAAGAGTCGGACACCACTGAGCGACTTTCACTTTCACTTTCATGTTTAACAACCGACTTACAGGACTCACAGAGATTTAACAGTTGGTCCCCATGAGTGGGTATTGTCTGGCTCCTGCATGTGACTGCATGTTTTTCTCTTCTTTGTGAATCTGGAATTTTTCAACGTTCCAAAAGCATTACTTAAATGTACTAGATGCTAGGAATTCAGATGCATGGTCCCTGTTCTCATGGAGTTTATAGTCTTCTTGAGAAAGCAAATACACAGAGTGGTGGTTTAGAGCCGTTTTCCAAGTGTGCACTTCTAAAACTTCTAATTATTTTTTATTTATATTGGGGAATAGTTGATATACAATGTTGTGTTAGTTTCAGGTGTAGAGCAAAGTGGTCCAGATATACATGTACATGACTACAAGGAGACTGAACCAGTCAATCCTAAAGGAAATCAACCCTGAATATTCAGTGGAAGGACTGACGCTGAAGTTGAAGCTCCAATACTTTGGCCATCTGATGTGAAGAACTGACTCATTGGAAAAGACCCTGATGCTGGGAAAGATTGAAGGCAGGAGGAGAAGGGGACGACAGAGGATGAGATGGTTGGATGGCATCAGCGACTCAATGGACATGAGTTTGAGCTCCAGGAGATGGTGAAGGACAGGGAAGCCTGGCGTGCTGCAGTCCGTGGGGTCGCAGAGTCACACTTTGGGACTGAACAAGAACCTTCTTTCTCCACGTAGGTTATTACAGAACAGTGAGTAGAGGCCCCTACACTTCACAGCAGGTCCTCGCTGATGACCTGCTTCTCACGTACCTGTTAATCCCAAACGCCCTTTCCCCTTTGGTAACCATGTTTGTTTTCTTTGTGAATCTCCTTCTGTTTTGTAAATAAGTTCATTTGTATCATCTGTTTAGATTCAACATGCAAATGGTATCATACGATATTTGTCTTCCTCTGTCTGACTTACTTCACTTAGTATAATCATTTCTAGGTCCATGTATGTTACTGCCAATGACATGATTTCACTTTTTTTTATGGGCAAGTAATTTTTTTGAATTACAAGATAGAAAAATCCTGTTTGATGTGCATATGTATCCCACTATTTCCCAGTTATGTTGTAGGCTTGGCTTTTTCTCTTGGTCTCCAGGCTTCTGGCTAAAAATTTATTCTCTCAAAGAAGAACTTTGGGTAAGGCCCTGGAGCTAACAACCATGAGGCATTGTCTTCAAGCTGGCCTTTGAAGTCTGACTGTCACAAGCAGGGCACCGTCCCATTTAGAAGGGGGTCCTCTGAACACCTTGTGATTTGTTTAAATTGCACTAACCCCCTTCCTTTTTATCCTCAGAACGTATTCTGAAGACTTCTACCCTCTTCCATGGGCAAGTGCAAATTCTGGATCTCAAGCGGAAATAAACACAGGGATAAAAATTACAAAGCACCCACTTACCCTTCGTTTAGAATAAAACAGGGATCGCGTTGAAAGGGCTTCGTCATTTTGTGGATTCCCTTCAAACCAGGGACTTTCCAAGAT